GGTTGGGAAATAAAAATATAAAACCATAGTCTTACTTTAGAGAGTTCACAGTTTATTTGGGTTCAGCATATGGATGTGTGGAACTCTAGCAGTAAGCACAGCAGAGGGACACAGGCAATTAAAAATAGCCATAACGGCTTGGAGCAGCAGGAAGGGAAGTGAACAGAGACAGAGTGGATCAGGTGTGAAAAGTTCTCTGTGTTGGTGTGGAGATAGAGAATAATGGGGCAGGGTAGTTGCATTTGGACAACAGACTGCCTGAGATTCTTGTGTTCCTGAATTCCACCTCCCATTCTCTGCTTCAACAGGCTGAATCTAAACAAGTAACAGTCTCTCCAGTAAATCAGAATTGGGGGATATTGTGATCACTATGAAAGAACCTTGGTTTATGCACAAGAAAATATGCCAATGTAGAGGGGGCCATAACTAGGGAAAAGATAGATGTGCAGCAAAATCGGATTAGTGGAAGAAATGTATATCTTTCTCTCATATGCAGAAATGGTATATAAGTCTGATTTAGGAATAAGATTTTCTAGTAAAAGAAAGAAGGAAAGAAAAGAGAGCCTAATTAAAAAATATATATATATTGAATTTAATTATATACATTTAATATACACAAAATAAATTTCACAGAGAATGTACTCCATTTTTAATTGCAGGAGAAATTTTTTTCTTTTTTAATCCTTGGATATGTCTTATGAAAAGGAAACAAATAACTAAACCCAAATGTTTAGAGTGTTGCAGAATGCCTTATGGGTCTTTGACAATACTCTAAAAATATCAGTTGTTGAATTTGGCAAAGTCTGAGAAGAGAAACTGTTTTGCGTTTTGTTTTTTCCTAACATGAAATTAAGGTTTTTCCCTTGGTGATGACTTAAAGCTCATTGAGCTTTGGATAGTTTGATCAACCTAGTTTATTAGAGCATCTCACCATACTGTGATTTGGTTACAATCTGTATAATAGGGAACTGGAGAGAGTTCTACTCGTTATTTTTTTTAATATAATTTATTTTTTATTTTGACTGTGCCATATGGCATGCGAAATCTTAGTTCCTTGAACAGGGATGGAACCTGTGCCCCCTGAAGTGCAGAGTCCTAACCACTGGACCACCAGGGAATTCCCCGGGTTCTACTCTTTAAGTGTGATAGTTTAAACTGGGAGTAATTCATTGCATTGTCTACTATCTTTAGGAAACGGATTAGACATGTATTGTAAAGGAAAGAAAAGGACCACAGGCAAGAATAAACTACCTCTGCAGAGTAATTTCCTTTGTAAACATGTAGGAAAGTGTTTAACAACGTAATTAGAGTTGTCTGTGAGATCTACTAGTCCTAGGCTTGCTGACCTCTCTAAGTCCAGCTTATGGTCAGCATGTTCTTCAAATCTAGGGGACACCATTCAAATTGTATTCTATATGACTTTGGCACTTAGAAGCCATCTTTTGTGTGTGTGTGTGTGTGTGTGTGTGTGTGTGTGTGTGTGTGTGTGTGTGTGTGTGTGTGTGTGTGTGTGTGTCCTGTATCACAAACTCTGGATGTACCTCAGATTTTAGCTACCTGTTGGGTTCAGAAGGACTATTTCATAAAACAAAGATTTTCTCTACATACTTTTTCTTTACTGCTTTAACTTTTGTTGTGGTTCTGTTTATGGTAGTTGGTTTATTTGAAGAGTGTTTGCACTTGTTAGGAATCACCGTCCTTTGTTACAAATGTCCAGTGTCTGTAAAACCATTACTTTTTAAATATTTTGCCCATTTTTTCATCATTTCTGATGAAAAAGTAAATTCAGTCCCCATTCTTCCATCTTGGCCCGAAGGGGAAATCCTGACCTCTGTCTCCCACATCTGTTCTTAGAGCCCTTGACATTTTTGTCAGCCTCATCAGACCATCTGAATCCTTGACAATTTTCTTAATCTTTCTCAGTACAGTGACTCTTTCTGGCTTCACCTATACGACTCTGCACTTTTTACTCAAGAGTTTATTAATTCATTGTTTTCTTAGTAACCTAGGTTTTCATACTTCATAGATTTTGATTTGTGTGCCTGTTATTCCTCAAGTTTGTATCTATATTACATACCTGTTTCTCACCCTTTCACATGCTGCTTGGCCCTACCTCTTACTCTAGCCATTGCCATGATTATTTTCTGAAAGCTTTGAACAGCTTTGCATAAGTACATTTGTACTACTCTTTGCCTCAGACTGGCACCTCAGACCATACTTCTGCCTTTCTGTTCTGCTGTGGGCACCACTGAAGTAATTTTTCAGGGTGCAGGAACCTGCTCTGGGCTCATGAGTGCGTAACCCAGAAACGTGTGGAAATTAATGACTCTGGTGGCCACCCTTGACCAATAAGTAAGGTTGATGATGGGGAAATGTTTTCCTGTTTAATCCGTTAGATTGACTCGTACGCAGGAGGCCCCTGGAAGACTGAGCACTGGCTACCCCGAGGGAGTAAAGGCAGCATGGGTTTCCTTCTCCCCAGCAATGCCATTGTCACAATCCTCTTTATTTTCTCCCCTCGACTGCTTTATCCTCCCCATTCGTTTCTATGCTACTGAAAATTGTAGAAAATAAAAAAACTCTCTTGACTAGATCTCCCAGTAGATCGTATCATCTTATCCAGACTGGGTTCATTTTCTGCCAAGTGATCCAACTGGTCTTCTTGTGTTTAACTGCTTCCTTAATCTTTCATGTCTTCATACTCAAAACTGGCCACCTTCACACATATTCTTACCTGAGCTGTTAAGAAGTATAAGACTTTACAAGATTAGCTTCCACATTTTCTTTCTTCAATACATCAAAATGATTTTGAACTGATTCCTCCTCTCTATAAAAAATACTTAAAATATCTTTAATATACCTCTACTTTCTAGTGTTAAAAGAAGTGACATCAATTATTAGAGTTAATTTCCCCAACTATGCTCTTGATTACCTCCAATCCTAACTTCTAAAGTCTTTACCAATCTTCTCAATCTTTTTTTAATTTCCAGTGCCTCCTTTTGCTGACTATAGCTATGTTCAGATCTCACCTGTAATGGAAGAAAACAAAACACAAAACCAAAATCCTTTTTTTTGACCCCATTATTATTATACCTATTAACCACGAGCTTTTCTTTCCTTTTGTATTCAATGGAACATTGACTGAAACAGTATTCTATTTTATTACGTATTTATTCCTTAAGCCCTGACAACCTAATTTCAATCTCTACCACTCTCCAGAAACTACTGTCTTAAAGGTCAGTGAAGGATGAAATAATCATTAAACCTCATAGTTTCCTCAGGCATCCTCTCTGATCACATTCCAGCATGTTCCAGTAAATTCCAGTTTTCTTCTATGACATTGTGAAAACTTCTACCTATTTAACTTCTTCCTCTTTGCAGTTCCTGATCAATACCTTATCTACTCCCAGAGTTCTCTGTAAGTTCTTTCACTGACACTGATTCTTCTCCCACACTCCATTCTTGTATTATTTCTCATTTCTTATTGTATATTTCTCCTGGACAATGAATTGGATGGCAAATTTAACTTATCTGCAATGGAGCTTGTCATTCCCACTGACTCCCTTCATATCTCAGCTGTTTCTTGTAACTTCCTTGTTTTTGATCAGTAGTGCCTTTCTTTAAGACACCAGTGGATTCCTAATTACTCTTTGCGTCTCCCATATTTGGAGAAGAGAAAGCAAGGCACTGTGATTTACATACACTATCTCATTTAATCCCCACAGCAATTCATATTTCATATATAAATAAAGTAAGACCCGAAGTGGTAGGGTGAGTTGCCTAATGTTATAGAGCTGTCTAGGGATGGGAACCATGTCTGCTGGACACTGAAATTCATATGCTTTTCAGTGTGTAACAGAATGAAGACTCTTAAACAGCAGTGTATCCTGAATCAACAAAGAAATATTCAATTATGTTTGCTATTGTATTTATTAAGGAAGGAATGAAGACAAAAATACATCTTAGAAAGACTGTGAACCTTCAACAAGAGATGAAAGTAATAAAGATTTTCTGTTAGACTTTGTGTTATTAAAATGGTGTTAACCAGAATAACTTCTTTCCCAAATTCCTCAATCAAAGTTATGTTATATACTGAGCTGTATTATATACTAAACTGGGTATATATTTACTAATATCTTTCATGTTGAGGTCAGGGTTAGAAATAGGTTTGGGTTTTTTTTTTTAAGTATGTATTATTAATTAGATATTTATCAATGCTAAACTCAACTCAACATTTAAAGAGAATTCTTACCTCTTGGGCTTCAGAGCCACGTTAAGTTTGATAACTGAGACAGAAGAATCTAAAGTTAAAGGGAGATCAGTAGCAGCAGTTAGATTATAGTGTGGAAATGTCCTATAGGTGTGCAGGGTGGGAAATCACGTGAGAGCCTGTAAGTATGGATTGTATTCTGGGCAAATGATGCATCCTCATCAGGCAGTTGCGCACTGAACAACTGTCGATTAAGTACCATTTTATCCAATTTAGACCTAATGAACTTGGTAGACGAGATCCCTGCTGGATTAAGGAGCAATCAGAGTCTTATTTTGGGTTCTGTGCCATCTAGGTCAAGAAGTTTCCAAAGTGTTGTGTATATTTACTTGGTACAAGAATGACACAACTTTCTTATCCTTCCTTCTGTTAATTCCTTAACAAATATTTATGGAATATTATTTGTGCGGTAGGGAGTTTCCATTGGTGAGTGGTAGATAGTGAAATAAAAGACTTAGAAAACTGTTCCTTGCCTCTGAGGAGTTTTAGTTCCATTTTTGCTAATTTTCCTGAATTAGTCTGAATGACAGTTTTTTTTTCTAATCAAAAGGATGAAAAGAATTTTGTTTGAGTCTAAAGACAAAGTAACTCTCTCCTCTAGCAAGAAGATTGATGAAAGGTCTTTAATAAGAGGGAAAAGGAATGAAGACGTGAGGATGTGTTTTGACTCTGTACTCAGTCTCACCTACCTCAGAGGTGCAATGACACTGGTTTTATTTGGAACTTTCAGGAAGGGGTCCGGATCACCATTTTGCAGGAAATGCAATGGATGTGTCAGAAGAAGCCCATGTCTGCCTGCCCTGCAGGGAGGGCTGCCCCTACTGTGCTGATGACAGCCCCTGCTTTGTCCAGGAGGATAAGTACTTGCGACTTGCTATCATCTCCTTCCAAGCCCTGTGTGTGCTGCTCGACTGCGTGAGCATGCTGGTGCTCTACCGCTTTCGCAAAGCAAAGGTAAACCCAGGTACCCTGGTTACCTTTCTTTTTATTATGAAAGGTACCTTTCTTTTTATTCTGGACTGACCTCTTCTTTTCTTTTTCTTTTTTTTTTTTTACGTCTTTATTGGAGTATAATTGTTTTACAATGGTGTGTTAGTTTCTGCTTTATAACAAAGCAAATCAGTTATACATATACATATGTTCCCATATCTCTTCCCTCTTGCGTCTCCCTCCCTCCCACCCTCCCTATCCCTCCCCTCCCAGGCGGTCACAGAGCACCAAGCTGATCTCCCTTTGCTATGCAGCTGCTTCCCACTAGCTATCTGTTTTACGTTTGGTAGTGTATACATGTCCATGCCACTCTCTCGCTTTGTCACAGCTTACCCTTTCCCCTCCCCATATCCTCAAGACCTCTAGTAGGTCTGTGTCTTTATTCCTGTCTTACCCCTAGGTTCTTCATGACATTTTTCTTTTTTCTTAAATTCCATAAATATGTGTTAGCATACGGTATTTGTCTTTCTCTTTATGACTTACTTCACTCTGTATGACAGTCTCTAGGTCATCCACCTCATTACAAATAGCTCAATTTCGTTTCTTTTTATGGCTGAGTAATACTCCATTGTATATATGTGCCACATCTTCTTTATCCATTCATCTGATGATGGACACTTAGGTTGTTTCCATCTCCTATTCCATCTCCTAGGCTATTGTAAATAGAGCTGCAATGAACATTTTGGTACATGACTCTTTTTGAATTATGGTTTTCTCAGGGTATATGCCCAGTAGTGGGATTGCTGGGTCATATGGTAGTTCTATTTTTAGATTTTTAAGGAACCTCCATACTGTTCTCCATAGTGGCTGTACCAATTCACATTCCCACCAGCAGTGCAAGAGTGTTCCCTTTTCTCCACACCCTCTCCAGCATTTACTGTTTCTAGATTTTTTGATGATGGCCATTCTGACTGGTGTGAGATGATATCTCATTGTAGTTTTCTTAAGCAAGTAGAATTGTTCCAAATCCCATTTGCTTCTCTCTTAAGCAGAAATCTTTCTATAATATGATTGGACTAGAGTGTGAAAGCTATATTCTTCAGCTTCGCAGGAGAAATAGGAATTGAAAATGTGAAACTTTATTATAACGTTTTCTTCTACAGAGTGTTTCTCCCTGTTTACCCTGAAGCTCAAGTACCTCATTGCCTTAAAGGAGTCTTTTACATCATCTCTTCAGACTCTAGAAGAACTTATTTTGCCAGTTCCCAATATATTGTTAATTTTTTCCTAGGTAGAAAGCTTTGTGATATTTATTGTATTTCATTTTAATTTCTCTTAGCCATATTTGAAAAGGGTAAATGGACTCAACTGTTTCTGAGCACATTATACTTTGAAGAATGAATTTATTCATGACCATACATATGGTCTTGCATTAGTATCCCAGAATGATAGTGGTCCTGCACAGAGCTTATATGGCTTTTGAGAGAGGCTGTCCTTTGGTTCTGTTCTGAGGAATCAGAGAGTAGTATAACCATTTGTATGCTTCTGAGTTGGGGGTGGACGAAATACCAAAATATTCAGGGCAAAGCTTTCTGGGGAGCTGTCTTCAGTTGGTCACCCAATTAACTGTATGCAGCCAGTGTTGTGTCAGATTTGTGGTTCTGTTGCTTTCAGAAATGTATTTGTGCCATTGAAAAGAAAAACAAAACTTAAAGTTTCCACCTTTTCTGAATTTGTATGACCCCTTCATGTTAGCAAAGTTGTAGAGATTGGTTTAGATTACAGAACTCATTGAAAGTATAAAGTGTTCCCATTAGAAATTAAAAAAAGAAAACAACTCTGTGAATGGCATGTGTTACAAAGCCTCAAATTAACATTTAAAAAAAACCACCTCTTTTGAGATTCTAGGAGAATGTATCCATTATGTTAATGTTATAGACTTTAATAGTTATTTTAAATAGTTTCATTAACAGAAGCATACAACAAATTAGAATCAAACTTTATATCCGCAAGAAAGGTGCAAACTGGCAAATTGCTCTTCATTTAACCAATACTTGTCATTCTTTTGCAACAAAATATGTATTATATGTTAGATTGTATATATAATAAAGTAGCTGGCCAGTGGAATTGGGAAATATCTAACCACTGTTACCTAGATAAAATTAATTGCTTATTAAAAAGCCTATCACTGGCAGAGCAGGTAGAATTGAAAGGTCTATTTAATAAACTGCTCTGAAGTATCTCTATATAATGTAATTCATTTACACAGTGGATACCACAAAATTCTTTAAGAATTTTAATTGATTTTAATCATTAATGATTGTTGTGCTAAATTGGGTTAGTGATATATGACGGTAGAATATTACACAGGATATTAAAAAACTAAGATAGTGCTTGCTAGACCAATGTCTTAATCTATGGTAATGTTACTTAACATTTCTAAAGTTATTAACCTTTTGAATTTCTGTGCACCTTCATATGAAATGATGCTTTACAAGGCTATCATGAGAATAGATATCTTTACATGTCATTTGGTGAAATTTCTATAGATATAAACTAGTTGGAATACATAAATTAGACATTATCTAATTTTAAGATGGTCACCTTTTGAAGAATCAGTTGGTTTTCACAGAATGTGACATAAGGGGGAGATATTTTTAGGAAAGAAGTTTAAAAAGTCAGTGAACATAGGTCTCATATGTTCACTGTTTCATGAAATGTTATCTTCCTATTTCAATTACCAAAAGCAATGGATTAATTGTAAAAGCGATAAACCATTTCCAGGATAGAGATTGCATATTTAGGGCATGTAGACTTTGGCTTTGCTTTTTAAAGTTTTCACATGTCTTTGCAACATTTCTTTGGATTAAGCAAAAAACTGATGACCCCTCTTGGAGCAAAGTTGATGTTTTCCTTATGAGTTTCCCATTACATTCTTTACCCACTGATAATTAAAAGAACAAAAACCACATAATCTGTCAGTGTACATCTATTCTGACAAAAGAGGAAAAAACCTTAGTTGCAATATAGAAGGAACATTGCGGACAAGTGTGCAGACTCTGGAACCAGATAATTTAGTCTAATTATGAGTATTTTAAGTTAAATGAGGTTTGCTCATGCCTAAAATACCAACTCTGCAGTTGGTAGGTACCAACAATATTGGTCGAAGGTTAGTTTAACATGTTATCATTTTAAACAACACAAACTAGATTCTGCTATATTTTGGGGTGAGGCTGGTGATACAGTGCCACAAAGAGTAAATTAAATTTTACTCTGCACAAACATTTAGAGACATAACTGTATACATTTGCCTTTGTGCCCTGGGTTAAAGATTAAATCTGTCAATAAACTGTGAGTGATTTTAAACCCAGTAAGTTCTTCTAAAGCAACAGCAATTTTTACAACAGTATTTTAAAGATTCTGAATATTAAATATTTGGAACTTATTTCTATTTTTATTTTTTTTTACCAAATATTATGACAAGTCACATCTTTTTCTATTAGCTATTTTGAAGAGAGAGCATAGTTTCTCACAGCTTAATAATGTGAAGTGTTAGTACAATTTATTTTCAAGTGAAAATTTGAAAGAAAAGAAGGTACACCGGAACAGCAGCTTATTCCACTTCTGAAAATAATCTTTTGCTTGATTTATTCTTAGTAAATTTTAGCATGTTTTGTTTGAGCTTAGTGGTTTGGAAAAAATAGTGATAGTCATTTTTTAAAGTGAACATACTGCAGTTTGTATTTTCCCTTCCAGGCCTGTAATAGTTCTTTTTTTAAATTAGAAAAATTGACAGGTGATTTTATAACTGCTCATTTTTGGTTTGGAAAATCAGATGTTTTAATGTAGAGTGTGGCTGAAATTCTACTAGGCTAATTATGATGTTTTAATGCTTATTTTTTTGAAAAAAAGGGAGATGTATTACTTTTTTATTGTGGTAAAATATACGTAACATAAAACTTACCATTTTCTACCATCTTTAAGTGTACAATTAAGTGGCATTAAGTACATTCACATCACTGTGCAACCATCACCACTATTCATTTCCAGAACTTTTGCATCATCCCAAACCAAACTCTGTAATCATTAAACAACTCCCTATTCCCCTAACCCCTGGTAACCTTTATTCTACTTTCTGCCCCTATAAATTTGTTTTTTTCAGAGTACCTCATATGTAAGTGGATACACTATTTGTCCTTTTGGTTTTGGCTTATTTCACCTAGCATAATGTTTTAAAGGTTTACCTATGTTTTAGCATGTATCAGAACTTCATTTCTTTTAATTGATGAATAATATTCCATTGTGTGTATTTACCACATTTCATTTATCTGTTTATCTGTTGAAAGAGTTGTTTCTACCTTTTGGTTATTGTAAATAATGCTATTGTGAACATTGATGTACAAGTATTTGGTTGAGTCCCCGATTTCAGTTATTTGTATATAACCTAGGAGTAGAATTGTTGAATCACACAGTCATTCTGTGTTTAACTTTTTGAGGAACTACCCAACTGTTTTCCACAGAGGCCAGACCATTTGATATTTTCACCAACAATTCATGAGGGTTCCAATTCCTTCACATCCTCACTAACACTTGTTATTTTCTGTTTTTGTTTTTGTTTTATAATAGCCATCCTAATGAATCTGAAGTGAATTCTCATTGTGGTTTTGATTTGCATTTTCCTAGATATTAGTGGCAGTTGAGCATCTTTTCATGTGCTTATTGGTATATCTTCTTTGCAGAAATGTCTCTTCAGGTTTTTTGTTCACTTTTGAATTGGTTGTTCATTGCTGAGTTGTAGGAGTTCTTTATGTATTCTGAATATTACACTTACCACATAGATGATTTGCAAATATTTTCTCCCATCCTATGGGTTGTCTTTTCATTCTCTTGATAGTGTCCTTTGATGCCCAAAAGTTTTTAATTTTGATAAAGTCCAGTTTACCTACATTTTCTTCGGTTGCCTGTACTCTTGGTGTCATATCTGAGAAATCATTGCCAAAGCCAATATCATGAAGCTTTCCTGC